TTACACAATAAACCAAAGTATATCAGTAGGAGTTTCCTTAAGTCTTTCTGATAGTTTTCTACAGGCTGGTTTATTACAACAGTAGAAAACAATTCTGAAATTATGGTTTATACTGTAGTTTTGGTGTGCCACCCCAAGATTTTAACTGGCCCCATCTGGCCACCCCTACGAAAAATTTCTGGAGGCGCCACTGTCTACCTGCCTCCATACTCTCCTTTCCTCAACCCTATTGAAGAATTTTTTTCAGCATGGAGGTGGAAGGTCTATGATCGCCAACCCCTGGAGCGTGCCACCCTCCTTCAGGCCATGGATGATGCATGTGATGACATCAGTGTAGACCAATGTCAAGCATGGATTCGTCACGCCAAAAGGTTTTTCCCAAGGTGCATGAACAATGATAACATTCATTGTGATGTTTGAATGTCAATTGGTTGGGTTGCGGAGAGTTCAGGTTACGGAGAGTTTGTGAGTTATAACGGAAATCATTATGAACATCAGCTATGCTAATTATTTCCCATCTGCCTTTCTGCTGTTATCTCGGGATGCTTGTCCCGAGAAAAATGGCGTTCGTCCGGTCCAGTTTTGTGTCCAGCCTCTCACGGGGATTTCGGATGCCCCAACGCCTGTGATGAGACGACTCAACGCCTGTGAAGAGACGACTCAACGCCTGCGATATGTTATGGCGCCGTTTTATTCATAAACAATATTTATATTTAAACAATATGAATGTAAGCCAGAGGAGAACTGGCCCCCGACTGAGCCTGGGTTCTCCCAAGGTTTTTTCTCCATCCAATCTGATGGAGTTTGGATCCTTGCCACTGTCGCCTTGCTTTTGGCTTGCTTTGAGCTTGCTCAGTTGGGATTATTTAGTGTTTAGCAATGTTGTTGATCCTGTGTTGTGCTACTTTCATGTTATCAGTGTGAAGCTGCTTTGATACAATCTGTATTGTGAAAAGCGCTATATAAAATAAATGTGACTTGACTTGACTTGATGTGGACGAGAATATGGCCAAATGCTCAGGACAGGCTTGATCCAAATTAATTTAATGTGTGCACTAAATGTTATGTTTTGTTCTCATTTAGTTACATTTCATTATAGAAAGTGTACCTATGTTACAATTATATCTGAACAATAAAAACTATAATTTGCCTAAATGATTGTAGAGGATGTCTTCATTGATCCTTCACTTGATTACATATATGATGGATATTTGGAAATTATAGATTATGTAAATGTTGGGTACTGTAAGTGTATTGCCTAATGTTACAGTAAAACTGTGTAATCTGTCTTTTATAGTACTGTAGCATATTCATTTCAGCACTTATAAGGCTGATTTGAAACATGTATCTTGCCTTGTTTGCTGTTGGATGAACTGATTGTTAAAAGTACTAAACTGAAAGAAGATCATATTGTTGTGTTTCAGTGATTAAACCAAATGTTCTCATTACGTATTACAATAATCTTGTGTTTGAAATAATGATTATGTGGACTGAAAACATGTGCAACGGACTGAAAGCATTACATCAGGTTTTGAAAGAATGACTAGCTGCGTTACAAGTATGATCAGTTTGGATTTTTGTACTAAAAGTTTTGAAAATGTACACCTTACTTGTGAAAATGTACCAAAGCGAATAAAAAAAACTGTAATGGTTAATCAATTAATCATTTGGTAAACCTATAGATTTTCATTTCAGCAATATACAGTATATGGATTTTGAGAACTACAGAAATAAAATGTGTGTTTGTATGAATATTTACAGTAAATTACATGTAACCACACATGATGAATACTCATTATAGCTAATTGATTTCACATAGTGGCCACTATATACTGTAAATGATTGTAGAGGATGTCTTCATTGATCCTTTACTTGATTACATGATGGATATTTGGAAATTATAGATTATGTAAATGTTGGGTACTGTAAGTGCATTGCCTAATGTTACAGTAAAACTGTGTAATCTGTCTTTCATAGTACTGTAGCATATTCATTTCAGCACTTCTAAGGCCGATTTGAAACATGTATCTTGCATTGTTTGCTGTTGGATGAACTGATTGTTAAAAGTACTAAACTGAAAGAAGATCATATTGTTGTGTTTCAGTGATTAAACCAAATGTTCTCATTACATATTACAATAATCTTGTGTTTGAAATAATGATTATGTGGACTGAAAACATGTGCAACGGACTGAAAGCATTACATCAGGTTTTGAAAGAATGACTAGCTGCGTTACAAGTATGATCAGTTTGGATTTTTGTACTAAAAGTTTTGAAAATGTACACCTTACTTGTGAAAATAGTACCAAAGCGAATAAAAAAAAACTGTATTTACGGCTAAATTATTATTCATTCATTTTACTACTAGTTAGATTGGGCAGGCATCCACAAAAGTTCCTTTAAATGCAAAAAAGATAGGAAATTTTGCCTTGACAAAAGGGCACTTTGGGCACCAAGGGGCAAAAGGGCAGGTGCTCGAGTACCCAACGCATTTAGTAATGGGACATGTTTTAATTTATTTTTCCTTTCTTTATTTGATATATAATACAAATCAATCACATTTTCGGCTAGCAGTGCATAGCGCCTTTAGGTGTGAAAGTGGAAAAAAGGAAGGGGTTGTTAAATAGCCTAGGTCAGGGAAAAGACGCTTTGGGGAGCTACTCCTTCAATGAGAAGTAAAAACTGTCTTCACTAATCACTAGTGATTGAGTTGCACCATTATTAACTATTTCTTTCTACTAAGCATTTAATAAACATAGCCTACGCGAAGAAGGCCTAAAGGTCTTAATATAATATTTATTTTAGATAAAATGCCGTTCCCTTTCGGGGGAACTCCCGTTGCGTCGATGACGCTTTGGGAACGCCTTCGCATGATCACCTCTAAAGCATGTATGTCAACAGCTGTGTTCGACATCGGCTGTGGCTGGATGCACGGTCGGCTGTGTTCGACATCGGCTGCGTCTGGATGTAAACGGTCGGCGAGTGTTGCCGCTTGCAGGCGGGGAGGAGCTGCAAACGGAGACGTGAATTCAGACACTTTCTGGTTCCCTTAGTGACTGTTCACGTGGTGTTTGTATGCTTTAAAGGGCACCTATTATGGCATTTAAAATGTTCCTAATATTGTTCTGGGAGTCCCCAACAACAGTTTTACATGAATGCAATGACAAAAAACACTTTTGTTGTCTTATAATATGCATTTATTTTTACCTGATTTGCTCACCGACTCCCAAATGATTCGTACAACGACTCATTTTTCCAAACCACTCCTTTGCGTGACACTAATCGGCGGTGATTGGTCAGATGACCCAGTCAGTTATTGTTTGTTAGCATAATGCATAAACATATTGATATAAAGCACTGCAGTACTACAAGACTTATGACCAGTAGCGGTTCTAGGCACGGGCGAACCGGGCAGTCGCCCGGGGTGGGATTTCTTCATGTCACATGGGGGGCGGCACGAGCAGTTAAAAAAATACTCTGTGCCGTGAAGTTTTTCTATTTTTTATCATTTCGATTCAATTATTGGCAATGGCGCCCTGCTTGCTGAGAAGGTGCCGTGCGCAGAAGCGATGTCAAGGGAATCTCCTGATTAGTTCACGTATCGTGTCTTTTGCGCGCTCGAGGTCGTTATTTCAAATCCTCTATGTTTCAAATAGGCGCACGGGAAACGCTTATTATGCGCTCACGGGAAGCGCGCTCATAAACTTTTCAGTATGGGAGTGCAAGTGCACCCAAACACTTGGGTGTTTTTTCTGTTCTCCGTAAATAGCCTACATCTTTTAGCAGAGCTACAGCAAGCGTTTTTCTGTGGTGGAAATACAACCTTTGTCGCCAACATTTGTATGTGGGGCCCATATGGGTATGAAATGGGCTGAAAAATGGGCCCCATGTAGGATTTTCCGCGGGTTACATAATGGCCCCATGTTAATTGCCCAGATAAATTTCATGTAGGATTGCACTTGGTACTAGGCCGGACCCAAGTGGGCAACATGCACAAGACCCATCTCGGTCCCAGCTTTAACCCAGCTGATATTTATATGTGGGGCCTATGTGGGTTTGAAATGGGCTGAAAAATGGGCTTTGATTGGGATTGTCCGCGGGTTACATAATGGCCCCATGTTAATTGCCCTGATGAATTTCATGTAGGATTGCACTTGGTACTAGGCCGGACCCAAGTGGGCAACATGCACAAGACCCATCTCGGTCCCAGCTTTAACCCAGCCGATATTTATATGTGGGGCCCATGTGGGTTTGAAATGGGCTAAAAAATGGGCTTTGATTGGGATTGTCCACGGGTTACATAATGGCCCTATATATGTAAATTGCCCAGATGAATTTCATGTAGGATTGCACTTGGTACTAGGCCGGACCCAAGTGGGCAACATGCACAAGACCCATCTCGGGCCCAGCTTTAACCCAGCCGACATTTGTATGTGGGTCCCATGTGGGTTCGAAATGAAAAGTGGGCTCTGTATGGGATTGTCCGTGGGTTCCATAATGATGCCATGTAAACCGCCCAGGTGGATTTCATGTAGGATCGCACTTATAAACAGGTGGGCCCCAACTGGGCTACATGCACAAGACCTATCTTGGTCCCAGCTTTAGTTTTTTGTGGGTACTACAAGGTTACTATATGGGCTGAAATATGGGCTTTAAGTGGGTTTGTCCATAGGTTCCATGCTGGCCCCAGCAACTTGCTGGATTTCAGGATTTCAGGATTCAGGATTTCTTTTTTGCAGCATTTCACAGGGCTTTAGGTGGGGCCCAACTAGGAATCATATGCATGTGGCCCAATTAGGGATCATCTGGGCTCCATCTAAATGAGTAGCAACACCACACAAACAAGTTTTAAAGCATTAGAGCACACAGTGATATTGAAATATTTTCAATTTTATTAAAATTACTTATCATCATATTATGCTATATTCTGAAATTCCAGGGACAATATTTAAAGAAGCAGATTTATGTCAGATTAAAGAGTATCTATTTAATGTTTTATACCTATTTGTTAAAATAGATATTTTGAACCTGTATTTGACCCAGTCTTTACTGAACATTTGAACAGGATATAAATTGGTGACAGTTAGAAGAAGCAGCAACTATACAGTACATTTATCAGTACAGCTTACACTGCAGACAGTCATTTGCGCATCTAGACACTCTCCTCCTCCATCTCTTGTCCTGGACTATTTTGAGAGTTCCCTCTCAGTTCCTTGCCAGTTGATCTGTGTTGTCTTCTTAAGAGCCTCTGCAAAACATTTTTTATTTTTTTTTAGGGATTTTGATTTTAGAAAAATCATGTTACTTACACATGTCACAATACCTTATGACAGAATAACAATTTTTACTCAGGATAAAAAAAAACAGCAAAAAAATTATATAGACCCCTTTTGCGCCGACGTCACAGTTACGTCACGGCGCTAGCTGGAGTCAAAACAAAGTGAAAACTGGAGGCGGTCAATGCAAAACAGCACAGATTCGGCTACATAATAATGAGCTTAAATAATTGTTACTATTATTAAATGTCATCTTGTTGTGTTGTTTGGTGCAAGAATTGATGAAAAATGAATATGCTGTATCTGGAACTTTTATTTCTAGAAAATATTCACATAATTAAAATCGCACTGTAATGTCACTCTTTACATTGTCGTGGTCTCGGCGCTGACTCGGCAGAACTGCGGATCGTACACACAAGTCTTGTACAGGACCATATAAGCATCTAAAGATTTATATGCCTCAGTTTCTCTTTACGATCGGTTTCTCTATAAGGTAGGTGTAGAAGGCAGGCCACTCACCCAAGGTAACGTAACGTTAATCCTGTCAGATCGTCCATGCATTGAGTGAGCGTGTCGGCTACGGGTCGGCCAATCTGGTTCAGTCCGTTAAAAATAACTTTTGGAAATAACAATCGCGGTCCTGGACACTGAGTGACCTTACACATTAAGATAATATCGGATTTTCTCCAGTCATTGTTAAAAAACAAGCTAACAATCATTGCTAACTAGCGTTAGTGAAGCAGCCAGATGGATCTTTCTGCCTCCACCTAAGCTCCGCCCACAAAAAAACGTCACCATGTTTACCAACTGTAAAAGGGTCACGGTTTTGGAATGTCACTGGAAGGGCATTTGGGAAATCAATAAAAAACAGTTTATAAAGTATGCATAATAAGTATAATGATTTAGGATTACTTTTAAAGTAAAATTAGGGATGCTCCGATCAATCGGCCAGATATTAGGGTTAGGTTAACTAAGTAAGTAAGTAAAAGTTTATTTATGTAGCACCTTTCACAGGTACAAGGCAACAAAGTGCCTTACAACAAAAACATTAATATCATAAAATACACACAATAAAAGCATAGACAGTACATGATCATATCATGTAACACAGGTACCTAATTAAAAGCCTGAACAAATAAATGAGTCTTTAGTCTGCATTTGAAGGCATCAACAGAGTCAAAAGAGCGCATATACAGTGGGAGGGGGTTATTAAACGCCTTCTGAAGCAAAGCCATGAGTTTGTGTAAGAAAAATATTCGGTAACGCTTTAGATTACAGCCCGGAATGTACTGTGTAATTAAGAGGAATTTACAGTGTAACTTTCTGCAATTATAGTGTTGTAAAGCACTTGCATGTAAATATATAGGTAAAGTTTTGGGAATAAAGGGGTAACAACCAGGAGAATTAAAAATATATATTTATACTGTAAGTATTATAGAAATAAGGGTTACTTATTCTACTATTATGATACAACAGTCTTACATTTGGGAGCAATTTAGCGAGTACATACACTGCAAACCTTTTTGTAAAAATTGTGTATCAATACTGTATAGGCTTTTTTTAAAGGACAGGGTACATATATAGGCATTTATACAATTCTTTATTATTTTTAAAAAAAAATTATAGCAAAAGTGCAGATGTTTAAGTTTTGGCTAACATGTTCTTTTCTAAGGCAAGAAAAGCTAAGACTATTGCAATTTTTTTAAATACTGGGACATATATTTTGTTTGATGTGGTTATAGGGTAAGTGGTGCTTGTATAATAAATAAAGGTTTCCAAGTCAGTGATATAAAACTGTGTATGTATTTTTATTGTACTTACCCTGTAACATGGAACAAGGGGGTAATAAGCACCACCACATGAAACAAGAGTATCTTTCCCCAATATTTAAGCAAAAGTTGCAATAGTTTTCGTTTCAGTGCACTTATGTAAAAAAGATGACTTTATAAATGCATATGTACCCTGTAATTTTTTTAAAAGCCTGTAATTTTAGAGTAGGTATTGGTTCACCTTTATTTCAAAAAGGTACGCAGTGTACAATTTTCTGGCGAAATTGCTCCCAAATGTAAGATTGTTATATCACAATAGTAGGATAAACACCCTTTAGTTCTTTAATACTTACAGTATAAATAATTGTTTAATTCTCCTGGTTGTTACCTCCTTATTCCCCAAACTTAATATATTGTTCCTTTATACTTATATTGTAAGTATGTTATAGGTACACTATAATTACCAAAGGTTACGCTGTTTAATCGCTTTAATTACGCAGTACTTTCCAGGCTGTAATCTAAAGCATTATCAAATATTCATATTTAAAACTTTATTAAATAAAATAACCAGCTTCCGGCCAAGCGAACATACAGATTGCACTTAAGTGTAAAGTGCAACATATGTGGTTTTAAGTTGATATTTACTCTACACCATTATGCACAACGCAACTTCTGACGTCACAAATTGACCTATGGCTAAGCCATTCACTCAAACGCGATGAGCAGTGCGCACCTAACCTAATACACTCGGACATTCTCTGCTTCCACGTCCATTGAAATGCATTGCAGTTAGTCAGTTTTCATTAGGTTTTTTTTGTCATTTTAAGTTTAAAATGGTCAAACGGTGTGCATGGGGTACATACAACTCCGACACTAGGTTCCCGAGAGACTGGGCAACGGTGTGTATTTCTTTACCCTTTCCCAAGCCACTTATCAACAGAGATAAGTGTCTGCTCTGGATTAAGTTATGCGATTAAGTCATGCGCCGCGGTAGACCACAACAACAACTAAAGTTAGCCTTCTAGCTGCTTTGTACATCATGTCACTTAGCTTAATTAACGTATCTGTAAATAACCGAGATAACAAATGTTAACAATGTTGTGCTGAATGATTCATGTAAATACTGTAGCACCAAACGGTGATGGCAACGATATGCGGTATATCACGTTTACATTGTGACCTGTAAATTACATTTTTGCCTGGAGCTGAAGCTTTTCATCGACCTTCTCAACAATAAAATTATTAATATAACCCTCCAATGCATAGTTAAGGCCCTTAAGGTGACTTTGAGATGATATATAATATTTCTGTCTCCAAAAATCACCAATTGCCTCCTGTAAAATGTCTGCCATAGCGCCTGTCCCCGAATGTTGACTGTTTGTCCATATGAGTGGAGGGGGCGTGGCTTAGCCATAGGTCAATTGCATAAGTTTGTAAGTAGGCTGCTTATGGCCATTTAGTTGGAAGCTAGTTATTTTACTTTAAAAAGTTTAAAAATGGATATTTTTCAAACAAAATGTTTGCTTCAGAAGGCCTTTATTAACCCCCCTGGAGCCGTGTGGAGTTTATGATGGATGGATGCACTTTTTTGAGCTTTTTTAAACTAATAGTTGCAATCCACTGCCATTACGAAACTTGGAAGCGTCAGGGTGTTTATTAATAAAACTCTGATTCTATTTGTCTGAAAGAAGAACGTGGGCTAATTTAAACCTAGGATGGCTTGAGGATGAGTAAATCATGGGCTAAATACTCTAATTAAATTATGTAAAATCTAATTTAGAAAAATTTATTAAATTAAGTACAATCAAAACACCTCAACAAGGTTAATAAATCCATACCGGAAGTGACAGTACAATGTAGTAGATAAAGAGCAATCCTCCACCAAATTGCTAGTACTCATCTGGATCCTTGGTCAATCTGGGATGGGGTGGGGTGATGCGTCCTTAAAAAGAAAGATTACATTTTTACAATTCCTTTAAACAATATTAAAACAAAACGTATCAATATCGTACCAACATTTGCCATTATAAAACATTCAGAGAACATGAAAAAATGGTCCCCAATAGCTGTGAACACACTGTGTGTGTTTAATACTCACTGCTGTGTGTGTGTGTGTGTGTGTGTGTGTGTGTGTGTGTGTGTGTGTGTGTGTGTGCACTTGAATGGATGAAATGAAGAGCACAAATTCCGAGTTTGGGGGCACATGTCACATCACATCAATTGAAGCTTTAAAAAAAGAAATTGCTACTCCAAAATCAAACAAACCATCAAACAATTTTACCTGTAGCCACATTTATCCTGTTATGACACGTCTGAGGGTCTTTCCCTTGATGTTCTTCCGTGAACTAAATAAAGGGCTCATGATGGTGACATGTTCTCCTTTCTTTGTCACTTTAGAGGAAGAAAGACATAAAGATAATTAGTTACTCAGATTTGTCACTGGTAGAGGATATGACTTTTGATGATGAGTATAATACTTTTGACAACATAATACTAATCCCAATGTAAGGTTTAGAAGCAATGGTTAAAACTGACTTACATCTTAATGAAGTTGATAATCATGCCGTGGTGGATTTGTCTCTCTGTTGGTGCCTGCTCTTCCCCCAAAAATCTTCTTCCAGTGCTTGATATATAAAAATAAAATAATAAAATAAAAAATAAACAAATCTCTTATCATTAGCAGTTATCAGTTTTTTAAGAGGTGATGTCAAAATATTTAGAAACGGGCATCTACAAAAACATAAGAGATTTAACGTTAGACCAATAACATTTCTCAACTCTTCTGTAGATTGCAGTGTTTCAGAGAGTAAAGTTAAATGACCGTTTTATCAGTCAAATCAAGTATATTTATATAGAGCTTTTCACAATTTATCAGTTACTTTACTCATTTGGATTCTCCTTCCCTAGTAAATAAATAAATAACTTCTACCAGAATATATTAAAACACATTTCATACTAATTATACTTCAATTTCATTAACATAATTATTGACACATCACCTAAGAAGACTTTATTACACAATGAACATATATATATATATATATATATATATATATGTAAGCAATAAGGTACGAGAGGCTGTGCTGTATCGTGAATAAGTAACGGCTGAAGGGCGTTGTTAGGCACAACGCGAAGCGGAGTGCCTCTAACCCCTTCAGCCGTTACTTATTCACGATACAGCACTTGCCTCGAGTACCTTATTGCTTTTATAAAACGGTTGCCACACAATATTACAATAAAAAACAATGTATTAGTGCAACTTTTTAATGTAGTTTAATCAATAAAAACATTCCTTCCGCTAGAAAAATATAGTCCCTGGCTGTGAACAACAACGTTCCAATGTGTAATATGCAGGAAAGCTCAAATAAAAACAACAAAACCATTCTCAAACTTTGTCTCATTCTTTTTATTTTTTTACAACACAAAATTTGTGAAATTTCCTCACACAAATAGGCATAGCTTATCTCTCAGCAAACTAACAAATAAAATAATAATAAAAAACACAAGGGCACATATTTTGATAGATAACAGTTAGGTCTTTAATCTAGTTATTAATTTAGTTGCTTAAAATATGCTGCAACCGTTTTCACTACACCAGTCACCGAAGCATTTCACTGCACATTGGGTTGATATGTGTGGTTGCTAAGGGTGTTGCTAAGGGCGCAGTGATAACTAGAACCGTTGGGTGAAGCGGTCATTGCCGTGTTTTATCGTGAATAAAGCACAGCTCTTGACCAATCAGAATCAAGGATTGGAACTAACCGTTTTATAAATATATATATATTACGACAAAAAAATAAAGTAATAACGTTACCACTATTAAGTGTACCAAAAGTATATATATATATATATATATATATATATATATTTTTTTTTTTTTTTTTTTTTTATTGCAGAAAGGTAACATATACAGACAATAACAGAACATGAACAACCAAAACAAAAATAAATACATAAATAAATAATAGAGCATGGTTCACATTCAATTTTAACAAATAAGATTACAAAACACCAGGGGTATTGAAGAGTGCATCATAGCATTGTAAATATTTCACAGATTTTTCATTTTTTAACAATCTTATTGAAGAAATGTAGGAATCAAAGTCATTAACATAGGAGATGAATTAAGGAATTTTTGTTTATGTATGTGAAATTTTGCTAATAAGATGAAAAGGTTAACAATAAATTCCAGATCCTTATAGTCGGGGAGCCAAAGTCTCAAAAGCTCTAAAATGGGTTGAACCTGACATGGTCTGCCATACTTTTTATTTGTGTTTTTTCTGTTAACTTTGACCCTAAGAACAAATAATTAGAGGGTCTGCTCTGCCGGAAATATCGCGAAAAAAAATTATGGCCATTTTAGTGTACGCACCCTTTATTTTTTATCAGAAAAATTTGAAAAATTATTTTTTTCATAAAATCCTCAGTGGGTTGGGTAGGTTCTCAATAAATGCATTCCAGATACACAGAACACATGTGCGGACAACATCCACTGAAAAAATAATTCATAAAACACATTTCTACATGATTTCGCATCAATTTAATGCAAAAAAACAGGCGTTTTTTCACTTATTTTCCACTATTTTCATCTTTACTTCATTGGCAATCAACTATTCCCTTAAGTTATGACATCAGGCAATATGCCATTCTTTTCACCAAACACTATACTCATTACACAGAAAAAATTATAAAAATCCAAACAAAATCAATGGATCTGTGATGATTTCACTACTAGTTGGCGATCAACAGGCTCAGAATTTCAATAGAATTTTAGACTACTCTCAAAATTCTTAAAAACATGCTGGATATTTAGCATCATGGCTCACTTACAAACACACACACACACACACACACACACACACGCACACACATGATCTTAGTAATTTTTATGAGTTTGGAACAACCAACCAATGGTTACCAACGGTTACCAACAGACTTCGAAGCTGCTCATCATTGTCTGTGGTAAGTGATAGTGACTAATATACCGGTAGGTCTGCCCCAGAGTTTTGGGAAAAAAATTGGTAATATGGATACTGTAATTGTAATTAACTGAAAGGACCACACCAGTCTTCAAACAATAATATTTCTGATGATTCCTCATCCCAAACATATCCCTGTAGCAGCAGCATTCATTCTCTACTAGTTTACTTAGCTAGCTTTAGCCGTTTTAGCTAATGTCGGTGGTTTCTTTAAACGGCATTACTCCTCACAGGTATGGGGTAGAGAGTAGAGACTTACTTTTTTTAAATGCTTAGGATATTATTCTCTAATAGAGGTATGTGTCCTATATGTTCAATAAGCTTCAACCGGAAGTTGAGAAATTGCCAAAATTTCAACTGGACTTGTTAGGTAAAGAAATAGATATGAGAATAAATGCTGCTACAGGGATACGTTTGGAGCGAGGAATCATTGGAAATAAACTTGTATGAAGCCTGGTGTGGTCCTTGAAGTGTTTTTCATGTCAGACAGATAGTAGGCTAGTAAGGATAACTAAAGGCTACATTAAACGTTAGCTGCCATTAGCATTTAGCTTCATGGCTAGTTGTTACATTCAGATTTAGAAAGTTTAGCTAGTTAGCTTGTGGCATGAATGGCCACACAGACAAAAAAAAAACAATATATAGCTATATTGGATATCAGACTGTACACAATACTGAACAATACAAATGTTCTGTAAAATGTAAACATACTATATAGTATGCATAGTTTGTTTTTGTTTTTACAGTATATAGAGTGAGTGATTTGTCAAAAGCTAGTTAGCTAGTAGTAATAATAATAATTCATTTTATTTGTTGGGCATCTTTCAAGACACTCAAGGACACCTTACAAAAAGTAAAAAGTAAAATTTTGAATTGATATGAAATCTGATTGGAAACCAATGAATGTTCCCTAAAACTGGAGTAATATGCTCATTCAACAGTGTTTGTGTAATGATCCGAGCAGCTGAATTCTGAACCATCTGAAGTTTATCAATACAGGATGACACTCAGACTCTTAACCTGAGAAGAAAGAAAGATAACAGAGTCGGCGATAGTAAGTGTAAAACTTCCACAATTCCGCTGTTTTGATTGAGTACCTACTATTAAAATTTTAGTTCCCTTTCAGTCGATCACGTGCGGCGTAACATCGACGTGACAATGTAATCGGGACCACTTCAGGGATCGCATCACGTGCCCCACTCCGCAGCGTGGGTATAGCAGCTTCGAAATCCGTTGGTAACCGTTGGTTGGTTGTTCCAAACTCATAAAAATTACTAAGATCATGTGTGTGCGTGTGTGTGTGTGTTTGTAAGTGAGCCATGATACTAAATATCCAGCTTGTTTTTAAGAATTTTGAGAGTAGTCTAAAATTCTATTGAAATTCTGAGCCTGTTGATCGCCAACTAGTAGTGAAATCATCACAGATCCATTGCGTGGGTATAAACAGGAAGCGGGCGCACGCACACATTGTCTTTCACTTAGGAGCCGAGCTTTCGTCTGACTGAGTTCTGCAGACTGGTGCAATGTTTAAGATTCCAGAAAAGCAAGACTCTGTATCCACTGCTGGTGTGACTGTGCGATCAGTGGTGGCCTCAAGGATTTTCACAGCATTGCTTGTGTGTGTGTGTGTCAGTCTTGGTGGTCGTTCCTCTTTGAGAGTGTACCCCGATTACACCACGGCTATCCTTGGGTACTTTGACACTGAATTTTTGTGTTTTCACTAAAAGAGCAACAGGATGTTTCAGGATGTCTTTCCGCTCGTGCGTTTATGGATGCGGTCATTCCCTGGCGCCAGCAGATGGTCACAATAGTTCCTTTTCGTGTTGGGCATTCAGCACGCTGAGGCAACTTTTGTGAATAGTTCATGTTTTCATTGTGGGAATATGACTATGACTGTGCTGAGATTGAGACTTGCTTACCTCAAGGGAGGTGCAGTCCCCTCGCCTATGTCTAGCTTTTATTTTGGACCTCAAAATAAACCTACTTTTGTGCATGGTCAGGGTGATCTGAGGGTGATCTGAGGATTAATGTGAGGACTTCCCCGCTGAGGCAATCTCCTTGGGTCCCTCACACCTTACAAGCGCTGCAACAACCAGCCATGTCCTTTGGGGCTCTGCTTGATGATCAGATGTCGATCACAGCATTGTAGGGGGAGCTTCAGTCCTCTGGAGATGAGGATTCGGCTGTGTTGCCCCCTTCGAAGGAAACCGCACGTTCCATTGGTCAGGCGATGTCCACCTTGGTGGTCCAGGAGCACCACCTTTGGCTCAACCTGGCCGATATGAGGGACACCATTAAGAATCGGTTCCTGGATGCCCCTCTGTCCCAGGTTTGGTTATTCGGCGACGTGGTTGACAGCTTTGCCCCACCTGTTCACTGGTCGCAGACCCTCCATCCGTTCGTCACTGAGGTCGACCTCCTGGGGCATCCTCCGCTCCTGTGAAGCCCCAGCAGCAGCCACCATCCAGGCCTCAGTGT